CATGAATTGTACAAGAATGTCACATGAATCAATCATTTTCATAGGAAAAACACATGAAACATGAAAAGTTTCCTCTATTCCAAGAGAGCCTTATGTAGCAATGGTTCTTACAAAGCTAAGACAAAAGCACATTTCCACATACCCATTGTTGATTTGTGATGCGAATTTCAATTAGAGCGAACATTCTTATTGTTTTCTTTAGAAAAGCCAAAGCTTAGTATCTAGCACTGTCCTTGTCCACATCATCTATCTCTATAAAAGGTAACAATGTAGCTCGTGGCTATGGTTTTGTTAGGCCATGGGACACATGGATAGCACAAGTCATGAACCAAATAAATTTTGGCGCATTGAGAGAATAGTTCAATGTTCTTCTACATAGTACATTTTGTTGCTTCACTAGAATATATAATATACAAAATTTCATTTCACACTTTATTTGTCGCTTTGTGACAAAAACAAAGAAGGTGTGATAGGCTAAGACCATTAAAGCAAAGGTACACATAGAAACATTGGTTCAAATACTTATTCATCATATTACAAAATTGAAGAGAAAAGCACAATTTCCCCTCCTTCAGTACCTACTTATAATTTATAGTAGACTCGAGTAGCACCCTTCTGCAACCAATCCCTTCATATCCAATTGATTCCATTATGAAGTTGTAAAATCTGCTGCTATAGTAGTAAAGGCTATGGCATCTAAATAGTGTCCCTTGAAAAAACCATTCATGTAGCAATGGTTCTCCTTACAAAACTAATGTGAAAGTGCATTTTCACATACCCATTGTTGATTTTGATGACGATGTCAATTGGACGAATGATCTTATTGTTCTCTATAAACAAAAGCTAGGGCCTTAATATCTACTAGCGTCTTCGTCCATATCATCTATCTATATAAAAGATGACAATGTAGCCAATGGCTATGGTTTTGTAAGGCATACATGAAGATATCATGAGTCATGTACAAACCAATTTTGGCATATAGATAGAACCGTTCGATGATCTTTTATGCAATGCATTTCGTCGCTTCACTAGAATATAATAATTTACAAAATTTCATTTCACATTTTATCTGTCGCTTTGTGACAAAAACAAAGAAGGTGTGACGGGCTAAGACCATCAAAGCAAAGGTGCACATAGAAAAAATAAGATACCCGAAGAATTCCAACTACTAGAAAAAGAGAGCTCAAGACAATGAAATATCTTTTTTCACATCAACAAAGAAAAATCACAAACTACTCTATAATTATCCACACACAATTCTCCAAGACAAATTCTTAGTGGTAAAAAATGTAAATAAACATAAAAGGCTAAAACTATAGAGAAATTTGTTTGGGTCAGAGAGAGAGAGAGAGAGAGAGCTGGGATGGGATGGGAGATGCCAAAAAGGCGTTATCGGGAGAATCAAATCCCAAGTTTGACCGGGCTCGGATGCTGAGACACACAACTGAGAAAGGAGAGCCTTTTCCTAACAACCCCGCGCAACAAGCCAATATTCTTCTTCCATGGCCTCCTCTAGACAAATGGATTATTTTTTTAGAAAGGACGGCAAAAGCTTTGCCGCAAGTTTTATTAGACAATAAAAAGAGAAAAAATAAAACATGTACAAGGGAATTACAAGCCTGATAGCTTACACCAAGCGACTTGCCTACCCCTCTCCCCAACTAACAACTACAAAGAAACAAAAAACGACTCCCTGAAAATCAAAGTAATTACGCATTGCAACTAGTCGGTGATGGAAGGGGCAGGAAACCACAACAAAGGAGAAGAAAAAAACATGAGCAGAGGTACTAAACTCCTATTCTAATTGAGTCTCCTGATCTTGTGGCGCCATCGCTAAGCAATATTGTGTGATATCATCCTTACATAGGGAAGCCACATGTATCGGTTGTAGGTTTTGCTATTAGAAAATCCTTCTATTTCGCTTTCCATATATTCCACCAGAAGTAGATTATAATTCCGTCCACTTTCTTTCTATGGTTCTTATCAATTTTACGCCGGCATCTTAACCAAAAGGAATAGATTGATCCTACTTCGCTCACTGTATCCAACACCGATAGATTGAACCATTGCTTAATAATGCCCCATACCTCCTTGGTGAATGGGCAATCTTTGCAAAGGTGGGCTGGTGTTTCCATATCATTATCACACAGCTTGCATTCTGTGTCTTCAGTCCACCACTGTTTGAGTAGATTATTTGCGGTTAGGATTTTCTTGTGCATCAAAGTCCAAGTAAAGAAACAACATTTATGTTCTGCTTTAGCCTTCCAAATTGGAGTTATCTTAATCCTGCTGTAAACTCCCACAAACTGTATCTAATAAGCACTTCGTGTGGTATAGACGCCATCTGCAGTCCATCGCCAAGTAATATCATCTTGTATCGCCTCATTGAGAACAACTCCCTGTAATTCTTCCTAGAGCCGCACAAATTGTCTCACTTCTTCCTGTGATGTCGGAGGATAAATATGATCAATCCACTTGTTATTAGTTAGCGCCTGCCGAACTGTAATTTTCTTTCTTCTCGTCTTTTCAAGCAGCAAAGGAGCAATCGACTTTGCCATGGAGCCGTTAATCCAGTTAGAGGACCAAAAAGGGGCCGTGTTTCCATCCCCCGCTGTCACTACAGTTGACGCATAGAAAAGGTCTCGGTCTACCTTGTCACACGGGATTTCCATGTTGTTCCATGCCCTTTGTTTTTGTTTCCATTTGAACCACAACCATCTTAGTCTGAGAGCTCTAGTGAACCTTTCCAGGTCTAAAATTCCTAGGCCCCCTTTCGTCTTTGAAAGGCACGTTGTTGGCCAGTTGAGCAAGGAATATCCACCACTAACTTTGTCCGGACTTTCTCCTCTCCACAAAAAACTCCTTCTGATTCTATCAATTCTCTTTATAAGCCATTTTTGTGCATGGAACACTGTTAGGTGATATATGGGTAAACTTGACAGCACAGTTTTAACCAATATCTCTTTTCCTGAAGAAGATAAGAATTTTCCTTTCCATCCGGGTAGTCTTGCACAAATCTTGTCTATTAATTGCTGTACCTCTATCCTTCTTAGCTTTCTGGTATGCAAAGGGAGCCCTAGGTACTTTCCCGGAAAGCTGCTGATCTTGCCCAGGAAGTTTTGAACAATTGCATGAATCATATTGGCTTGCATTCTAATTGGAAAATTTCCGTTTTGGATAGGTTCACTTTTAGTCCGGAGCACTCACCAAAAATAGATAATATTTTCTGTAATCTTGCCAACTCAGTCAGTGTTGGGTTTGCAAATAGGGCTGCATCATATGCGTAAAGAGAGCACCGTAACTTTGCTTGCTTTGGGAGTACCGGTTGTAATAAGCCCGGTTGGCCGCTTGCTCGATGATTCTTTGCAGCGGGTCAATTGCAATTATAAAGAGTAACGGGGACAGGGGGTCCCCTTGCTTCATTCCCTTTGCATGTTTGATGTTCTGACTTGGTCTACCATTGATAAGGATTCTGGAAGAAGACGATTGAGGATATCCAGTTGCGCCACTTGGTACTGAAACCCAAAACCGTTAGAACGTCCAGTAGATATTGCCATCCTATGGAATCAAACGCCTTTGAGATATCCAATTTGATGAATAGAGCCGGTTGTTTTTTTTCTTATGCAAGAATTGGATCACCCTCTGCACATATAGAAAATTATCATATATACATCTTTTTTTGATGAAAGCACTTTGTGCCTGTGAGACCAACTCATTCATACGGGGTGCCAATCTTGTTGCAAGCAACTTTGTAATGATCTCCGTGAGACTGTTAATTAAGCTAATCGGTCTGTAATCCGCAATATTGAGTGGGTCTTGATTTTTTGGTAGCAACACTATATTAGGCTCGTTGAACAAGTGCATTTTGGAAGTCTTATGATTGTAGAAACCCATCATGGCCTCATATAGAACATGTTTGATTATCTCCCAACATTTTTTTGTAGAACACCCCAATGAAATCATCCGGCCCCGGAGCCTTTTCAGAAGGTAGGGATTTGATAATTTGGTAGAGCTCTTGAATTGTGAATGGCACATTCAAATCATCTAGATTGAAAGCTGAGTACCCCACGACACTCCAGTTTATACGCCGTGATCTCACCGTGCTAGTTCTCACTGCTTTACTAAAATTTTGATTATTAAACAATCCGGCCCCTCTTTCCGGGGCTAATTGCCGTCGCAAGCAAACAAAGCTCGCCGAGGTTTTGTTAATCCGAAGTGCCAATGGCGGGGTTCAGTAACTGAGTAGCGCCCTTTCTCTCTCTTTCCCTCGTCCTACTTAAATACTCTCAAGTGCCGCTGTGTGTGCTCTTCTACTTTTGCTTCTCTCTCCTCCTCTGCCCCTTCTTCCTCCCCTCTGCCTCTTGGTCTCCAATTGCTGAAGTAGTAGGTTGGTTGGTCTGTTGGTGGTGTTCTTCATTCTTGATGAGGGGCTGGGTTCTTCGCTTGGCCAAGGTGAGCAGCAGCCTTTTCTTCGATTTGCTTTCGTGCCAGTAGTGTAGTGGTTTCGGGTTTGTTATTGGGTTGAAGAAATGTTTGGTTGTTCATTTGGATACCTGATTAATCTTGATTTTTTTGGTGGCTTTCTGGTCCTCTGGTTTATATTCGTACAACCTGATTAGGTTCGATTCTTTCGTCCCAAATTGGAGTTGGTTTTCTTCCCGGTATAGTTCATCATCATGGCATCTTTGAATTTTGGAGGAAAAAACCACCTCGGGGGTTTGGTGCGCAGTTTGTGCCGATAATTTCGCATTTGCACTGTATGACTGTTCTTGGCACGGGCGCTTTCCCTTCCAAATAAGATTCCTTGTGCTCTTCTATCGTTTTGCTTCTTTGTTAAATGATTCGAGAATTTCCTGTGCGAATTTGCAGTGAGGTCATCCGCTCCACAGTCATGTGAAGTTGTCCAAGAATTCGGCAGTACGCACGAACCGGCGGCCCTTCTTCTCCATTGTTTGCTCATCTTGTTCCCTGCGACAAATCGACACTCGCAAATTGGAGCCATGGCCGCCTCAACAACGGCAGCCGTGTGGTTCTTTGTGGCGGTGGTGCTGGTGCTGCTTCATGCGACGGCTCCCGCCATTGCTGGCGCAGAGGACGAGGCGGCGGCACTGCTTGCCTTCAGGCGTGCGTCCGTGGCGGACGACCCGCGCGGCGCGCTCTCGGGCTGGGCGCTGGCGAACGCCACGGCGGCGGCGCCGTGCTCGTGGGCTGGCGTCTTGTGTGCGCCGGCGCCCGACGGCCGCGTCGTGGCCGTGAACCTCAGCGGCATGGCGCTCGTCGGCGAGCTCCGTCTCGACGCGCTCCTCGCGCTCCCGGCGCTACAGCGCCTCGACCTCCGCGGCAATGCCTTCTACGGCAACCTCTCGCACGCCACGGTGTCGCCTTCCCCGTGCGCGCTCGTGGAGGTGGACATGTCGTCCAACGCGTTCAACGGGACGCTCCCCGCGGCGTTCCTGGCGACGTGCGCCGCGCTGCAGTCCTTGAACCTGTCGCGCAACGCCCTCGTCGGCGGCGGATTCCCGTTCGCGCCGTCGCTGCGGTCGCTCGACCTGTCGCGCAACCACCTGGCGGACGCCGGCCTCCTCAACTACTCCTTCGCCGGCTGCCACGGCCTGCGGTACCTCAACCTCTCCGCCAACCAGTTCGCCGGGCAGCTGCCGGAGCTCGCGCCGTGCAGCGCGGTCTCCGTGCTCGACGTGTCGTGGAACCACATGTCCGGCGCGCTGCCCGCGGGGTTCATGGCCACGGTGCCGCCGAACCTGACGCACCTCAGCATCGCCGGGAACAACTTCTCCGGGGATGTCTCGGCGTACGACTTCGGCGGCTGCGCCAACCTGACGGTGCTGGACTGGTCCTTCAACGGCCTGAGCAGCAGCGAGCTGCCGCCGAGCCTCGCCAACTGCGGCCGCCTCGAGACGCTGGACATGTCCGGGAACAAGCTTCTCAGCGGCCCGATCCCGACGTTCCTGACTGGCTTCTCCTCGCTGAAGCGGCTTGCATTGGCCGGCAACGAGTTTTCCGGTACCATTCCGGATGAGCTCAGCCAGCTGTGCGGCAGAATTGTTGAGCTGGACCTGTCAAGCAACCGGCTGGTTGGTGTCTTGCCGGCAAGCTTTGCCAAGTGCAGGTCACTCGAGGTGCTTGACCTCGGTGGCAACCAGCTCTCGGGGAGCTTTGTGGACAGTGTCGTCAGCACCATCTCCTCGCTCCGTGTGCTGCGGCTCTCGTTCAACAACATCACCGGGCAGAATCCGCTGCCGGTACTGGCGGCGGGTTGCCCATTGCTCGAGGTGATCGACCTCGGGTCCAATGAGCTTGGCGGTGAGATAATGGAAGATCTCTGCTCGTCACTGCCGTCGCTGCGGAAGCTGTTCCTCCCCAACAATTACCTCAATGGCACAGTGCCCAAGTCGCTGGGTGACTGCGCCAATCTGGAGTCCATTGATCTGAGCTTCAACTTCCTTGTTGGTCAGATTCCAAAGGAGATAGTGGTGCTGCCAAAGCTTGTTGACCTGGTGATGTGGGCGAATGGCCTGTCCGGCGAGATCCCGGACATGCTTTGCTCCAACGGTACTACGCTGGAGACACTGGTGATGAGCTACAACAACTTCACTGGAGGCATTCCCCCTTCCATCACCAGATGTGTCAACCTCATCTGGGTGTCGTTCTCCGGCAACCGCCTCACAGGGAGTGTGCCTCACGGCTTCGGTAAGCTCCAGAAGCTTGCTATTCTGCAGCTCAACAAGAACCAGCTGTCTGGTCCTGTGCCGGCAGAGCTCGGCAGCTGCAACAACCTCATCTGGCTGGACCTCAACAGCAACAGCTTCACCGGCATAATACCGCCGGAGTTGGCTAGCCAGACAGGGCTTATTCCGGGGGGCATTGTGTCAGGGAAGCAGTTTGCATTTCTGCGGAACGAGGCCGGCAACATCTGTCCCGGTGCTGGTGTGCTCTTCGAGTTCTTTGGCATCCGGCCTGAGAGGCTGGCTGCGTTCCCAACCGTGCACCTTTGCCCATCCACAAGGATATACGTCGGCACAATGGACTACAAATTTCACAGCAATGGGAGCATGATCTTCCTCGACCTCTCCTACAACCGCCTCACCGGTACAATCCCGGCAGGCCTTGGGAACATGATGTTTCTGGAAGTCATGAACCTGGGGCACAATGACCTCAACGGTACAATACCATATGAATTCTCAGGGCTCAAGTTAGTTGGCGCGATGGACCTCTCAAACAATCATCTCACTGGTGGCATCCCCCCGGGCCTTGGTACTCTGAGTTTCCTTGCTGATTTGGACGTATCCAGCAACAACCTGTCTGGTCCAATTCCTACGGGTGGCCAGCTCACTACGTTTCCGCAATCCCGGTATGCCAACAATGCTGGCCTCTGTGGCATCCCTCTACCTCCCTGTGGTCATGATCCAGGGCAGGGAAGTGTGCCATCAGCTTCATCCGATGGAAGGAGGAAGACCGTTGGGGGAAGAATTCTTGTTGGAATCGCGCTCTCCATGCTCATACTGCTGTTGCTGCTGGTCACTCTCTGCAAGCTCAGGAAGAACCAGAAGACTGAAGAGAAGAAAACTGGGTACATCGAAAGCCTTCCAACATCTGGCACGTCAAGCTGGAAGCTTTCAGGTGTTCATGAGCCACTAAGCATCAATGTGGCGACATTTGAGAAGCCTCTGAGGAAGCTCACCTTTGCGCATCTCCTCGAGGCGACCAATGGCTTCAGTGCTGAGACTCTCATAGGCTCAGGGGGGTTTGGTGAGGTATACAAGGCCAAGCTCAAGGACGGCACCGTCGTTGCCATCAAGAAGCTGATCCATTTCACAGGCCAAGGCGACAGGGAATTCACAGCAGAGATGGAGACCATTGGCAAGATCAAGCACCGCAACCTTGTGCCGCTGCTCGGATATTGCAAGATTGGCGATGAGCGGCTCCTTGTGTACGAGTACATGAAGCATGGCAGTCTAGATGTGGTGCTGCATGACAAGGCCAAGGCTAGTGTGAAGCTGGACTGGGCAGCAAGGAAGAAGATCGCGATCGGTTCAGCAAGGGGGCTCGCCTTCCTCCACCACAGCTGCATCCCCCACATCATCCACCGGGACATGAAGTCAAGCAATGTGCTTCTTGACAGCAACCTGGATGCCCGTGTTTCTGACTTTGGGATGGCGAGGCTGATGAATGCACTAGACACACATCTGAGTGTGAGCACACTTGCAGGTACGCCTGGGTACGTGCCACCTGAGTACTACCAGAGTTTCCGGTGCACAACCAAGGGTGATGTATACAGCTACGGTGTTGTGCTCTTGGAGCTTCTGTCAGGAAAGAAGCCGATCGATCCATCTGAGTTTGGAGACAACAATCTTGTCGGTTGGGTGAAGCAAATGGTCAAGGAGAACAGAAGCAGTGAGATCTTTGATCCTACTCTGACAAACACAAAGTCAGGGGAAGCTGAGCTCTACCAGTATCTGAAGATCGCTCGAGAGTGCTTGGACGACCGGCCTAACCAAAGGCCAACCATGATACAGGTGATGGCAATGTTCAAAGAGCTGCAGCTTGACTCCGACAGTGACTTCCTCGATGGATTCTCGGTCAACTCATCGACGATAGATGAATCAGCAGAGAAATCCTCGTAATGTCTTCTGATGATCCTTGCAGGTTTTGATTCTCTGGAGGGATACAATACAACAGCAGCTAGCTCAATCATTTTATTTAGATCCTTGCCTCCTTGGTAGGAAAAAGGTGGCCACCTCCAATTTAGTAGGAAAAGTTGTGATTTTGATTCCAGTCGCTGTAAATAGCACACAAGCATACGAACAGGGAAGATGAGTAGGGTAGAATTGCAGAAAAGCTGTTCTCTCCTGTTGGAGAGACCGGCGTGTATTTTGGAAATCAATCAAATTCCCAGCATTTCGGTATCAGTGTTGTTGAGGATGTGATACAGATCCGCAGATTTGCTCAGACTCCATTTTCTTGCCTACGCCTGATATTTTCCTACCGTAGTATACAGTCTTTGCAATAGCTCACATTTTTTTTAGAAAAGTCACAGTTTCCTTTGTGACTTATGTTTTCTTAATTAAATTTCTTGAGCGCAGCTATCTCTGTTTGACAAAAATGTTACACAGATGCTGACAGTTGCCATAGGCCATAGCATGTTGGCTGAGAAAACTGATCCTTATATTTGACAGCACATGAAAAATGACTTGTACGGATAGAAAAGAAATTGTGGTTCTCTGCTCGTCGAATGATTGCTGGGTGTGGTGGATGACATAACTGAGCAACAGAATGAGGGTTCTCATCAGTTGTGCACCCCCCTGAACCTGAACTGGATGGCCGTCTTTTCCTTTTGCTGACATGGTCTGTGATGGATGTAGTAGGTATGGTACCTGCCTGTCGTCCTGGTGGACAAGACAAACTCAGCCTCACCCTCACCAGGAGAAGTCGAGAAGATAAGGCATTCATGGCTTGTGTACATCTTCTTTCTGGCTGCGTGTATGAACTGTGTACTCAGCCTCTAATAATCAATCGATCAATCAATCATCTTAGCATCCAGCTTACTGATGCGTTCACTTGGAAGGAGATTAGCAGCTGACTGGTGTCAGGGCGCTGATCCATCTTTGAATGCGTGTATATATGTCAAAACTGAAAACTGAAAAGTGGTGCTTGCATCTCCATTTTATTTTGATCTGGACACTTAAATCTTTTCAGAGTTGAATACTTGGGTTGCTTCCTTAACCTCAAGTCTCAGGAAGGATCCTAACTTTCTCACTGACCAAATAAACACCTTTCCTTTCTTCAGATAAAAATGAAATGTCTGTCTGGCCGGGTGAGGTGGGCAGAGGGGCAAGCGTCGCTTTCAGTAGTTTCAAAAGGATTTGGTATCTGTTAGCTGAGCTAACCCAGGATAAGACAGCACGGCAAGCGTGCGGCCGCCCGCACGTGCGCGCGCGTCGCCTTTTTCGTTGTCAAGGATCTCATTCATAATCTCATCCGTGTTGAATAGTCGAGCATCAAGTCAGAAGCGTGTGATGGCCGATAAGTGCGACGTGATTTAGGCAGGAGCATCCAGACTTTGGAGACGACAATGACGACCAGTGCCTTGCATTGGTCACCTTCTTCAGAGTAGAACGACATGAACCATGAGACCAGCAGCAGCAAATCTTGACAGCCAGTCAGCTCATCTCTCCTTCTCCTCCTATGCTGCCGGAGCCGGATTGGTCCGGAACGTCCGATAGGTTACGGTAAGTTGGATCGCTCATTTGATCTGAACCGTTCATCCACGCGTTGGACGGTCTAGAACGGATGCCGTGTGGTGGCTAGTGCTTTTGGCATCCCGGGACAGTGGTTTTGCTCTCTTTTGATTTTGATGTCACCATCACTTTGCATCTAATAAAGGGGCGCTCTTTGCACACTGATCTCAATTTGGGGCGCCCTTTACGTCCAAAAAGGCACACAGATAGTACTCAGCCAGCTGATTGGGTAACGTGGGTGTCGCGAAAAGGTCAAACACCATTTGCGTGTTCCTTTGCGTTTAGGATCTTTTAGTAGTTGGGCAGTAGGGATACGCTTAGAAATGCAAGCGCCATGGATGGGATGCCTATACATTGTTTATTTACTCAAGATGAAGATTTGCATACAATACAACTGAAGTGGTAACTTGGTCTTTGAGCTGCCGTCCTGCAGATGCAATTGGGTTCTATGATGGTCATCAGATTACCTGCAAATGTCCAATTGTCCATGTCTCATTGTCTCCTGCTCTGCCTAGCGATTCTCTGCTGTTGTTTGTTTAACTGACGCTTGGTAATTTTCTAGTATATATGTTTGCCACATAGTCTTGACCGCAACATTTGTTTTTCATTTTTGTTTTTGGGTTTCTGTTTGTCCTCTGTCAGAGCATGATCTTGCCTGTGTAGGTTCTGCTCTGGCAGCCCCTATCTGTAGATACTACTAACTACTGCCAAAGGTAGCTGTACAACCTTTCACAAGTATGTACACAAGTGTCAGGCTTTTCCCAGCGAGCTGGCTACAGGTATACCAAATGAAGACCTGTACTTGTCTTTACAGGCAAAAAGAGAGAAAACACTGACCAAAAATTCTCATCGGGTAATTCAAAATTCAGCCTTGTCAACCATGGCTCCTGCCTCCTGGTCTAACATATAACTAACCTCATCTTGTATGTAAGGGATTCCATTCCTACTAGTTTGTCGGAAAAAAAAAGAAGCAGCTATAAATATCACAAGAAGTGACCTGATACGGACAGACCAAACTGGCCGGTTGGCCATCAGATGCAACCTCTTCTGTCCATCTCGAAGAAGAAAGAGCAGGCTATGACTTTCTACTGCTTGTGCAGATGAAAGCTGGGAGAAGGTAAACACCAGAAAGCAGCAGCGTTGCAGAACAAGTATGGTCACGTTCAATCAACAGTGATGGACCTGACAGTTTCAACGAGACATGCAAAAGTTTCAGCAAGCAGTAGACCTGCAAGCCTCTTCAGTAAATAACTTGTGCCATTTGGAAGCAGTGGTTGCAATTGCAACAATATGTAACCGAAGAAATTGAATTTTGGGTGCGTCAGATTTGTCAGCAGGCAATCAGGACCACTCCCTTCGAGTCACACGGTGCAGATCCACACGTCTCAAATTCAAGACCACTGGACTGTTAATGGAGAAGGGAAGCAAAGCCATCATCTGAATTATAACATCTTCACAACATACAAACTGCTACTGGTTTCTTGGCAAGGTTATACATGCAAATTCCATGGCCACAAATGCAATTCATGGAACAAAGTGTAAACCAAGATTTTGGCGAAGAACTCAGATTTATCCAGCTTCAAACACAGAGAAACTTTGTTCTGAGAAGCTAATATAATTGACACAGCCATCTGGGCTCTTAACACGGTGTGATGATCTTTGCAGTGCCCATGACAGGAAACCAGCCAACTTAATTCTTACAATGTCGTGATGACCTTTGCAGTGGCAATATTGTTCGGTGAGACAGAATCAGCCCATTGCATACTTCTGGGTCCAGGCCCGTGCAGTTTCCTCATAGCGCTGCCTCTGGTTCTTGTACATGTGGGCGATCTCAGGGACAAGGGGGTCGTCTGGGTTGGGGTCAGTGAGGAGCGAGCTGATGGAGAGGAGGACCTTTGATATGGTCAGTGCAGGGCTCCATTGCTCCTTGAGGATATCAAGGCAAATGCTCCCATTAGAGTTGATGTTTGGGTGATAAACCTGTATTTTTTCAGTGAAACAATCAATTGAATTAGTTGCAAGAAGGATAAATAGCTTTAAACAGAACCAGAATTGTGGAACAGTTCAGATTGTTTCAGTATGCAAGTTTATAGTATCGATCAAGGTGATATACTTGAATGACGGATTCTTTAGATTAATAACTAAGAGAAAATTTTCCATGATATTTTGATAGCATGAGACTACAACCATTCAGCCTGATATATCAGAAATACTACTACAAACTGTTAGTACCTATTTTTGTGAAACCTGTTGTACTCTAGCCTACAAAACTTTAGGAGGAAACTCAAGGGAATCGACATGATTTCAGTTGCATATAGCAAGGCCGGTGAACAATTGCTGACAGACTGACACTTTTATATCTGAACTTTGGGATGCTAGGAAGTGCTCATATAGTCATATTTGAGCTCTGCCACATGAAAACTTATCCATTGCATTTCAAGCATCACTAGAACCAAATTTCAGGAAGAAAAATAACTCTATGAAACTGCTGAGGCAAGTAAAATGGGTTTATTACGAATAACAAGTACTTAAGGATTCAGCATGATCTTAACTATTTTCTTCACATTAGGAAGAAAAACCAAAGTTTTGAAAATAAAATGGTGATGTAGAAAAGAACCTGAGCATGTTTTATTTTGCACAACAGAGAATGAGTTTTCACAATTTTGTTTTGATATGATTTTGGAATGGGGCCTTTTCATCATGAATTTCAGACCACGCCTATTGTCTAGTATGTCAATAACAAGGTCATGGGCAACCATGGCTATTGGCTACAGAATAGAGGTTCAAATACTTGTGCAGAATAAAGGAATATCAAAAGGAGAGGGAAATCATATTAATAAGACCAGCTCACTTTTGTTTGGAAGTTCACTTTTGGAGGCTTAAAGGGGTAGTCAGGAGGAAAATGGATATTAACAAAGAAAACCCCTCCTGCATAGGGGCTGTCGCTAGGACCCATGATTGTGGCCTGCCAGTGGAATAGATCCTCTCCAGCCGGCCCTGCACTGCATGATGTCGGTGGGTCCTTTTGCAGATCCATGAGTTCCTTCTGAATCCTTTTGCTTGCCATATCTGAGAAAGAGAATATAGTGATCGAAACAATGATGAACATGGTCAGAAATGACTTTGTGGCACAGCCACTGTCGGCTTGAAGTCTTAAATGAATTTCTTGGTATGATTATCACAAAGTCTGAACAAATTTATATGAACGGCTTCCACAAACTCCATCAAAGTATAAGGAATGCTGAACTAGAGTTCAAACATAACTACTAGGAGGTCAATGACCATCTCTTCCTTTCCAAACTTTTTCTCTTTTCCAAAGAAACAGGGACAGTCAATATTTATGGTTGTTCAAAGTGTCACATGGATCACATGAGTCACGGAAGAAATATGTTAATGGAATTTTCAGCCATTGGCTAAATTCATTAATTAATAAGAAGTGATCACTGTAAGCAAAAAACATAAAGCAGCTCAATACCCCCCCTCTCTATCAAATTATAGGTCACTTAAGTCAAACTCTTTTATCTTTGACCAAGTTTATAGAAAACTACACCAACATCAAATTAATTTCACTAAATTCTCCACGAAATATATCTTCATAGTTGCATTTATTTGAACTTGTTGATGTTAACATCTTTTTTCAGAAAACTTGGTCAAAGTTAGATTAGTTTGACTAATGACAAAGCATAAGTGACCTATAATTTGGAAGGCAGGAAGTACTAATTTGAGATTGCAGATAAACTGAATCATATTCTCAAGAGTAGCTGTTATCACTTTGACATCTAGCTAGATTTGCACATGTCCAATATGATACCATTGCATTCAATACTGACATTACCAAAACAAGTTCAAAGAAAGATTGTTTTAGCACAAATAACATGAATACAGATGACTAGTAATACTGTTAAACTGTTAGAACATACTTTCAAGTAAGCATATTATGATTGTCGATGTATATACAAGTCTAGCTATTCCAATCGAAGCAGGAACCACTCAATCATTGTGGTAAATAAAAAAGACAGATCTGCTCGTCTATTCTTTCCCCCAAAAGTCAAGCTGTTTGCATCCCCCCTTAAGATGTTAGCATAAAAGATTTGAGTTCTTCCGGCGAAACGGTCAGTATATCAAAGATCAATGTAGAGTGAGATGGGCAGCTGTTCGATAAAATTCAGGTAGGAGTTATGGAAACTATTAATTCGAAGTTTTGAATGTAGATTTTACAGAATTGGACATATGTCCTGTGCATTCAGAAACTAAGAGACCAATCAACTAATCCTCCATCCTAATTAGTTAGTGTAGTGCTACATTTCCTAATCTTTTATCTGAAATTTCCCGATCAAAAATCTTGAGGTATCTTTCTGGATATTCACACGCGGGCCCCTCTCAGAATTTCAAGATAGTATGAAGGTAGAAAAGAAACAGTTAAGTTTCAGCGAAAAGGTTTCAATCATCAGTTCCTTCCCCCTTTTCTTAAAAGTCAACCCCAATCCTAGACGAATCAAACTATTGACTATCGTTCTCAGGCACGAACCAGATGAATTTTTGCAGCCCCTGCACCCAAATAAACCTAACAATTAAGCAGCTAGACAAACTGAAGCATGTCAGATCGCACTGCATCATGGACCCGACGAGCAAGAAGTAGATTCCAATGAATCAAGAGAGATGTGAAAGAATCGAAGATTACCTGGAGAATTGTTGTCTGTGCTGCTCTGATGGGTACACCTGGAGAAGGAGGGGGAAGAATCACAATCGCCGCAAGGCTTTGAAGGAGGGGAATGGGATTATAGGCGTGGGAGACCAGAGATGGAGTCGTCGCTTCTCTTGATCGAGTGCAATTGGCTGCTGCCAGTGCTGCGTATTATTTTAACCGATTTCTGCTAGGCTCACTCGGTTTAGGGAACATACAAGGACTGGACATGTTTGAACGAGATAAGGCTACTAGGCTAATTTTAGCTATTTTTAGTTAGTTAATCTTTTAATTCTAAATAATAAGACGATGTTTTGGCTTTCTAGATTCATAACCTTTGCTATGCATCTACATATAAGTTAGAGACAAATCCACTAGCGATCCTTCAACTTGTCCCGCATTCTCAAATAGATTCGTGTACTTCTAAAACCAGATTTTCAGGTCCCTAAACTTGCTAAATGTTTCATCAAAGGTCCGCACCGGTTTTAGAACGCTGGTTTTTTCACATGTGGTTGCCGTCCGTCTGCTCATGCAAGGTAAGGGACCCACCACTCCAGCCACAGCCGCGTGTCCATTCCGCTCTCCGCGGCAACGAGCACCGTTGTGTCGCCCGTCGCCCCCAGCAGCGGCGACATGGGCACGCCGTCCCTATGCACGAACTCCAAGACCGAGAGTTGGAGTCAATGTCCCTGAGCAAGCAAGTATAGGCCAACGTAGAACGCTCTGAGGTGCAGAGCCGCTTGTCGATGCGGAATGCAAACTGAACTCGAGTGTGACAACGTGGATGTAGACCGACCAAGCCCACGGACAACAGGCGTGCCTCGAGCTCCACGGGAACATCCACCTTCTCCTTTGCGCGCTTCCTAGCCGAATCCTGCGACTCTCTCCATAGCATCCCAGCGGCATGAGTGGGGTTGGCGTCTCGGTCACAGAGTGGGCCCGCGCGTCTCCTCTCGTAGCTGCAGCGAACCACGTGCCGCTCTCCGACGTCCCCTCTGGGCTCTGGCCACATCAAAGCCACCTCCACCGTCCTACTACTTTCCTGGTCCCTCCCTCGTCTTCCTCCCACGGGCCACGTAGCGACACTGCGGCCTTGGCAACTGCTTTGCGGACTACACGACCGATGCGGTGGCCACAACCGACCTGTTCCTCTTCGTCTCCGAAGCTCCACCGTGTCACCCCCTCCGCGCACTCCTCTGTGCCACGTCGCACGCGGGCACTGCCGCCATCGACTTCCACATCCTCACTTCTGCGCTCGGTCGCCCCGACCGGCCTTCCGCTTCCATGGCCCTCTGCTGCATATAACAGATCCATCCAATTTATAAGAGCACAAGTACAATAGCAATCACCGAAGCGATCAAGCGATCAAACTATCATACTTGAGCCCATATAAACCCGGTAGTCCGATGAAATCGCAAAGGATCTCAAATAAACCAACATAAAAATCAAGATTGTACATGATTCAACACAACCAGTCACATATTACATCATAGTTCATAAATAGTTCACAAGTATCTCATATACATCGGAGTTCACATAGTTATTACGACAGGATGAAGGCAGTTCTTACAGTACCCATGATACATCATGTCATCTGCAACAAGAGAGAATAAACCCTGAGTGCGAGAATGTACTCAGCTAGACTTACCCGTCATAAACCAGAAATAATATGACTCCAAGGAGTATGCAAGGCTTTATCGGTGGAGTTAGCTTGACAACATTTTGCATAAAAGCTTAAGTAACATAACTTAAAGATTTAGTACCTCTAGCATCAATTTGAATACCTATTCAATTAAGCATCTCTAGATTAGCACCTGTACTAGAGCAATCACTTGATTAAGCTAACAATCATTAGTAACCATATCCGGTATAATAATTTGAGCATCATCCTAACCATCAAGTTTCCATTAAGTTACTCTACGTTGCCGTTGCTCAGTCAAGTTCTTACTATCCGGGAGAGACGATGATTCGAATCGATTCTTACCCAGCTGGGGAATTATTCCTAACACAAACCCATACTTTCCCCATTGAGGTCGCATCGGGTCACCTTTGGTACAACTCAGTTACCAACTTCACGGGTTCGATCAGCGCCGCACCCTCAAAGATTCTACCAATCTGCCAAGAAGATCGGGACTCGAACCCGCCCTTGGACTCACACCATTGGCTTTCCACACATCCTTACTGCCTCTAGTGTGTGCACTTTCACTTACCGAGGCCCGGCTTGAATTGAGCTACTCGACTTCATGGTTGGAACGACTTATCCGGCCAACTAAGTGCTAGGCATGCGTTCAACATGACATGAGGACGTACAGCGAATCAGTCCTTAACCGACATAGACGGGGATAAATAGGCACCAAGACCTCCATGCCTTGTGCTTCTCTATCACAATCCCGTCCGGTCTCCTTTTCATTTATCAACACATGGTTATATTCTACGCTAGCAAATATAGCCAACTGTGATTAGTTATCAGCCTATATCATGTAGGTGATAGGTAATCACCCGACTTCTACCGACTAAGCATGGCTAAGCATATATTCGATCCTAGACCTACATAGGATTCAAGATATATATATCTAGACAAGGTAGTTATATGCATCAAGTGGTTCAAATCAACTCCTATAATATAATGCATCAAACATAAAGGACGTAAGTGATATTTGTAAAAACATAGGAGGCTTATAATGCTCTGGGGCTTGCCTTTCAAGAACGAGAAAGGTTGGTGGTCAGGACACTCAGGGAGATCTTCTATGTTGACTCCTCCTTCCACCTGAGCTTCCTGCTCCTAGGCTGCCTCCTCCTCCTCCTGATGCTCGGGTTTGAACTCGAGAAGCGTCACTCCTTCCGGAGAACCTATTGCATGCATATGTACAAATGAGTACCATGAATGCATAAGAGATGAGATGATATGATAAATTGTGTATGCATGAGCATGGTTATCCACAGGAGGTATGATAAGTCTAACACTAGTTGACCAAGTAGATGTATAACTTTCTTCTAGTTGATCTTTAATGAGTATGTGCATATCTCTTCTATAATACAAGAAGCATGCACTCACCAAGTTCTAGTAACCTAAGGTAAAGTTGTTCATCATCAGTAAGAGGCTTAGAACCTACAGCTAATAACTAATCTCAATTAGCCTAAGCATCTACACAAGCATCATATAAGACAGACAACTACAATTGACTTAGTCATTTCATGCTATAAATAACAGCTACTTATTTTGGCTATATCCGGAGTTCTACTTAACCAAATACTATGACCTTAGACTTAATGGAAAACTTATAAAACCGTCTATAACTTTCTTATAGTCATCTTAAGATGATTCAATGGTTATCAAGGTCAAACAAAGTAATTTCCCAGATCTGTCCAGAAATTCCAGAGAACAAGCATTTCTGGAGACCAACTTCTAACAGCTATAACTCTCAAACCATTTAGCCTATTACCATGAAAATTTGACACAAGCAAGATAAGTAAATTATCTACAACTTTTTTTACTGTTAATATTCACAACAAACATCATCTTACCCATGCAATTTACTTAACCACCGAAACTGTCCAAACAGTCACTATAGTTGAATTATAGAGCAATTAATATTTCACTACATAGAAGCAATCAAATTTGGGCACAACCAAGGGTACCAACAGTTCATAGGCATCATACATACTCTAGAAAATATGATGGTCAAGCTCAAATAATTTCTTTCAATGCATTTATTAATTTATTTGGACACCAAGGTGAAATAAGGAAAATATATCAAAATTGCACCATAAATTCTGAGAAAATTCTATTAGCCTACTTATGTCCCCAAAAGTTAACTGTACAAATTTTATGCCATTTCAATAAGTACAACAATCTCTACAAAAAGGACAAGTTGCATAGGCTCATTTTAGCAAAAATAGTTTAGTCTAGTGAAAAGTGTCAAACAATAGATTTTATATTTTTCTTACATGCATCCTAGTACCATAACACTATGTAAAAATTTGCATGATCATTAGTTACATATTTTTTCTCCATTTATTTTCACTAGAAACTAGTAATTATTTAAGATTAAATAGGAATATTATATTCCATGTATGCTTACTATTGGTTTAGTATTTTTTTTAGCTAGAGCATGTCAACATAAGATCAGAAAAATTATAATCACAATTTTATCACTTTCCTAGCTCAAGTTATGCATTTTACAAGTTTGAAAACATTTAAAAAGCATTTATCTAGCTCCATTTTATTCTCCCAGAAAAATACCATAAATAGTGCATTTCATATTTTTATCAAATACTACACTTCATGAGGAATCCAACAAAATTTGGTTCACCAAAATTGGACACTCCTAGCTTGAGATATGAATTTTTGAAACATACATTCAAATCTAGAAAACAAATCAGAAAATCAAAACACACACCGGCTGACAGCCGGGGCCCGCGGTCAACAGGACCCACCCGTCAGCGAGACCAGGACAGAGGACGGCGCTGATCGGTGAGAACTCGTCGACGGCGAGGTCTCTAGTGGTAGCGTCTTCACCGTTGCATTCCCCGTGATCCCCCGCACTCAGTGGTACCCCTCGTTGGACCGGCGGTGCACTAGCGCACCCTTGCCACCGGTGATGGTGGACAGCGGAGGCAGCGCAACGGTTTGCCGACATTCTCTGGTCGTGGTGTGCTCAGGCAAGGCGCATTACGGCTTCATGGTAACCTAACGAAGTTAGCTAGGGTGGGTTAGGGTTCCGACGAGGCGGCGGTGAACTCCGACCGCGTGAAGGTGTCGGTGGTGGCAATGGCACGGTGATGCACTGCCGCGTTCCAGTGAACACACGACGGTAACGTCTAAATGGATGATGGGTTTAGATGCTAGGACCTACGGCGATGACCAGAGGAGGGAGAGAGAGAGAGCGAAGGTGCACGTGTTGTGGCTGGCCACGGCGAGCTAAGAGCACGGTGGCACTCCGGTGATGGCGCGGTGGTGGCGAGGCGAAATGGGGCCTTACCTAGGCGCGACGTGAGGTAGTAGTGGTTCGGGGAGGTAGAGGTGGAGGTGGTGGAGCTATTGGCGCGAGGAATCCTATGACGGCGGCAAGCGGGCACGGCGGAGCGACGGTGATGGCGTGGCAGCGCAATGCTCTGCTTTTGCTTTGGCGTGGGCGAGGGAGAGCAGGGTGCAAGAGAGAAATAGGGCGAACAGCAGAGGCACACGCCTTTTCTCCCCGTGCTGGCCTAATCGGCTGGGCCAGCACTGGCGTACGACCACCACGCGGCGCACCTGGCCTGCCCCCGGTCGGCCACTGACACCGGCGTCAAAACGGCATCAGACCCTGATGAACACGACCGACAATGCAAGTTCATCCACCTCTATCTCCTAATCTGTGGCGAGTTAGCAAAAACTCCATTACTTAAAGTTGTAGAGCTACATGTAAACTCCAACTTTGATTTAGGGAGTAATGTCTAATTCACCACAGTTTTCTAATTGCAAAGCTTCAAAGTAGGGTACATCAAAACTAAAACTCAGTTCATGACTTTGCAAATTTTTCTAAGTTGAATACAGTATTTTGTTGATTCTTGTGAGCCCTATTTGACCATGTTAGGCACTGAATTAGCTCTTGACCCAAAAATAAAAGTTGTTACTCTAGTCAAGTACTACAAC